AGTGCAATGGCGTGATCTCGGCTCACCGCAACCTCTGCCTCCTGGGTTCAGGCAATTCTCCTGCCTCAGCCTCCTGAGTAGCTGGGATTACAGGCACGCGCCACCATGCCCAGCTAATTTTTTGTATTTTTAGTAGAGACGGGGTTTCACCATGTTGACCAGGATGGTCTCGATCTATCGACCTCGTGATCCACCCGCCTCGGCCTCCCAAAGTGCTGGGATTACAGGCTTGAGCCACCGAGCCCGGCTTGAACTCTTAACCTTAGGTAATCTGCCTGTCTCGGACTCCAAAAGTGCTGGGATTATAGGCGTGAGCCACTGTGCCTGGCCTCAGGTAGCTTTTTCTACAGACAAAAAATTCTGCTACCTCAAAAGAAAATGATCCATTGACATTAGCCTCCTTAAGACCCAGGTGTATGGTTCTTGATCTTCTTTTCCACTTGATCACCAATTTCCATAGCTGTCTGGGCACTGATGTCAGTAACTACCCAGAGTGGTTGCTCATTTCTCACAGCAATGTGTGGAGGTGATGTGTGTTTGTTCTTATTCGTTTGTTCATTCATTCTTTTCTCCAAAAGCCCTAGGAAGAAGAACCACTATAGTGTTAACTATGATGGGTAGAATGGCGCTTGAGTCACCCTGCCTGTGGCCTAACACTTGGACATTGTCACATAAGAGGCTCCTCACATTTACTCCGGGGGCAGAACATTCTAAATTACCTGGTAGTTTAGGGGTGTGAGTTCATGGAAGCATTTTAAAAATTCTAATTTGTATGTTTTTGGGGGACTTTGTGTTCTTTTTTTTGTTTCTTATATTTTTGAGATGGAGTTTCATTCTTGTTGCCCAGGCTGGAGTGCAGTGGCATGCTCTGGGCTTACTGTAACCTCTGCCTTCTGGGTTCAAGCAGTTCTCCTGCCTCAGCCTCCCCAGTAGCTGGGATTACAGACACATGCTACCATGCCTGGCTAATTTTTGTATTTGTAGTAGAGACAGGGTTTCACCATGTTTGTCAGGCTGGTCTTGAACTCCTGATATCAGGTGATCCACTCACCTTGGCCTCCCAAAGTGCTGGGATTACAGCTGTGAACTGCTGTGCCCAGCCGACTTTGTATTATTTCTGTGTGTGTATGTGGGCTTACAGAACTCATGGATGCTCACTGTGAAATATTTCAACACTGCAGATGTATGTGAGGTAGAGAGTGGGAATCCTCAGTGATGAGAAACCACCCATCCTCAAAACTGGAGGCCACTGCGAATCCTTTCATTCTATGTATAAGACAACACTGTGTGTACTGTAATTTTATAGATGATGTCAATGTAAAATAGCATGAATCTTGTTCTGGATCTCAACTTTTTTCTATGCATAATTAAGTGTATTTAAAATGATTTAAAATAAATTGTGAGTCATACCTCAGCCTTTCTCAACCAGTGAGATGAAATGTGATGTGTCAAAATTGAGTTAAATCCATATTCTCTGTGGATGTGCTTTTGACTTGCACATAAGGAAAAGCAGGCAGGCAAAAATGAGGCAGTTTCACACACTGTATTGACATTCAACAATGAGAAGGTCAGAGTAGGGAGTTGATGTCAATATATTCATCCTATACCGCAATAAAGCTGTCCCGGCAACTGCAATCCCAGCTGCCGTTTCCCCTCCTTTGGGTGAGAAATGAGCTATTCAGACCCTCAGCTCTTTAGCTACGAAAACACCCTGCTTTAAGAAAGGTTTGGTTTTCAATATCAATATGATCTAGGTTTCAGGTTTGGATGTTAAAATTTCCACACCAGATAGGGCTTTATTTGACAAAAACAGTAAGAGATGACAGCTGAGATTTCTGCCACACGAAAATTGCCGAATAATTGTATGGCAGGTGTCGTCATTCTGAATATCATAAAGTGAGTTTAGCTCTCCATTTTGCTTTCCAGTATTTTACTGGGGATGCTTTTCTTGGGGTTATTACTAGCAGTTTTAAATGTTGGGAAAATGTAAAAAGAGAGAGTAGACATAAACGACAATAGAAAAGGTAACACTCACGATAGCACTGCACTATGTATGTTTCATTTTCCCTCAGGAAACTACCCTAGAATAGGCAAAAATCCTTCAGGAACAGGAGCCCACAATGACCTCAAGTCCTACAGACCTACATGTTTTGACTCTGCCAGACCCACTAAGTGCCAATTTTTAAAAAGTCAGTTTGGGGGGGAAAAAAATGAGAGAATTTTAAAAAGTTAACAATTTCACAGGTGGTTTCTATCTCTACTCAGTGTTACCCAATTTAAATTTTATATTGGTTTCAGATCCATTCTCCAAGCACTTTCACAAAGTGGCCTGCCAGAGGCCATTTAGCACACATCCCTCACAAATGGAGAAGCAGCAGCATTCAGATTCACCGGGAGCCGGACTGGCATCTGCACTCACTCAATTCACTTGGTGGTTGGCAATCTTCTCTGCACTCTGAGTCGTGGTCACTTCCCTTCAGAATAGAATCTGGGGAACAACCTGAAGGGATCGTGATAAAAAAAGATTGTCTTTGATGTTGGGTGGGATATGCAAATACGAATGAGAATAGGGTGCCTTAGTACTGTCAGAGTGTGCTGTGTTTTACTTGGGAAATGAGACAAAATCTTTCCATGATCAGCCATTCCATGTGACATCCCAACCCACACTCTGCTACTGACATTTTATCTCCCACTGAACAGCCCGGCTGTTGTAACATTTTCAGGATTCTTAATTTATGTCTTGCAGGATCTAAAATCAGATGGCAGGAACTTTAAGAAAATAACCAGTGTTGACAGGCACCTTATACAAGAAGCGGGTACACCTTATTGCTGCTAAAAGTTAGAGAATATTCTTCACTTTCTTCTTCCAAAATATGTCCAGAAGTCAGTGGGATGGAGACAGTAGCTGTCCTAAATAATTTAATTTCTCTTTTCAATCTAAACTCTACAAAAGGCTTTTTATTTCACTCAGTATTTGCTAGCACCTGGGACTCAAGAAGGCTTATGTCAATGAATCATTTCTTTTGAGGTAGTCAAACTTTTGTCTGTAGAAAAATCATCCTGAATCTATTCAGTATAAAAACATGGGGTGGGCTTGACACGGTGGCTCATGCCTGTAGTCCCAGCACTTTGGGAGTCTGAATTTGGCAGATCACTTGATCCCAGGAGTTTGAGACCAGCCTGGGCAACATGGTGAAACCCCATCTCTACTAAAAATACAAAAAATTAGCCAGGCCTGGTGACGTGCATCTGTGGTTCCAGCTACCCGAGAGACCGAGGTAGGAGAATCACCTGAGCCTGGGAAGTCAAGGATGCAGTGAGCCAAGATCGTATGACTGCATTCCAGCCTGGGTGACAGAATGAGACCCTGTTTCAAAAAAAAAAAAAAAGGAAATCACTAGTCCCAAACCACTTATCCTTGGAGAAATATGGACATAAACCCAAATCACATGTTCTTTCCATTATATCACAATGCTGCTTTGTAAAGTGGCAACTTTGGGCTGGCTTCTATGAATCTGCCGAAACCTTTGCATCATACTGGCAGTGCTGAATACTTGGGGCTCTTGAACTTAGGCCTGCAACCAGGATGCTGGTGTACAGCTGTGCCCTGGAGTGCTTGGCCTTGATCCTCCTCTTTTTGGAATGTCTTCATATCTATTTATCTGTAACATAGTGCTTAACAGTAGGAAATCTTGAGCCAGATGCCTAGCTCTGCCGCTTATCCCTGACCTGAGCAAGTTATTTAGCTTCTCCAGGCATCATTTTCCTGTATTGTAAAATGGAGATTACCTATAGGGTTGTTGTGAAGATTAAATGAGTTTAGGAAAGTGCTATATAAAGGTTAGTTATCCATCAATTTGCAACATGTTTTCATAAATGCATCTAGAATATGTTTGTGTAAACCTATGGTTAGATGATGAAGCTAAGAAAAGCCTTGGTCCATCCCTGGAGAGTAAGAAACTAGTATACTCCTTTTACAGAGTACCTTGCACACAGCACAGGCTTAACAGATATCTTTAAATTGAACTGAAGCGAATAATAGCAGAACTGAAAGTGGTAGTTCCAGATCTTGCAGGCTCAAGGTCCAGATTTTACAAGTGTTCCGATCACCCTCCCCCTACCTCATTTATCGCAAAGATCAGCGGCCAGGAAAAGGATGAATAACCAATGACCTTAAAACTCAGGTCAGAGTAAAAACCAGTTCTGAGAAACTGTATGACATTTACATCCTGGTACCTAAAGGTCACTCTGCATGTGCATTTCCTCTGCACAAAGCTCAGGAGGCTATTTTTATATTACTGGGGCAAAACTCCTAACAGCCCTTGGTACTAAACAGCCCTCAGCAGGTGCTTCCAAATTTTTGTATTTGCTTCAACTCCCAGGTTGCCAGGGGAAGCGTGGCCAACACTCCTGGGCAGACTGAGTAATAGCAGGATACTTCAAGAGGTGCTCTGGGTCGGAAGGAAGTAAGTGAGACTACGATCAGGTAAAGTTTGGTAAAAGAAGAGACACCTTCACCCCAATGACCAGGCGGTGGCTCCGCAGCACAGACTCTCCGCCGGTGGAGGTCCCACCCGGCCTTGATGTAGCTCCGCCTCCACCCAGGCCACACCCACGAATCCCTCCCTCTCCCTCTCAGGCCCCGCCTAGAGCCGCCCCTCTTAGAACCGGCCCCGCCTAGAGCCGGCCCCTGCCAAAGCCTGTCCCACCTGACTCCGACGCTGCCGGGCTTAGTCCGCTGGGTTTAGTCCGCGAAGCGCTTGCGCATTTCTTGAGTTGTCGTGGCACTGCCCAAATCTAATTGGGAGGAAAGAAAGAACTTCATATTTCCTGAAGACTGCCACAGAGCCTTTTCGTGCTCTCTTAGAGCTGGTTTTGCCTTTCGTGATTTTGAGAACCCTGGCTTTTGGTTCCCCAATGTTGGTTAAGTGGGCAGGTTTTAAGTTAGGCGATCTTCGGGCAGCCCTAGGCCCGGCGATGGGTCTTTGCGCGGAGTCTTGGGACCACAGCCGGGGAGGCGGGGTCCTTCTCTGGGGCGGTCGCGCAAGAAGCCGATGCGGGAAGTTGGAATTCGGGCGTCATGTACTACAAATTTAGTGGCTTCACGCAGAAGTTGGCGGGAGCATGGGCCTCGGAGGCCTATAGCCCACAGGTACGAGTGGCTCCGCGCCAGCTCGGACAGGAGAAATGGGGGTGCAAGCCTCGGCGACAGGCAGTCGCGGAGTTGGAGCCGGGCGGGTTTCTGTCCACGGTTGAGTTTGTCTCATTTCTCCTTGCACCTCCCGTGTCCTCTCCACACCAGCGTACAGTGGTCGCTGAGGCTCCTCTTTATGTACCTGCTCACCTAGCGGGGCTGGCCTGGCGTGGAAGTTCGGTCTGGCCCATGGCAGGGGTCAAGGTGACCCCCGGGGGTCTTGCCTATTCTAAAAGGGATGGGTTGGTGGAGTCCCCAATGTGACCCGAGGTTAGGTCTTCTCCCTCTCTTTGAAGACATCTGGCCTTCGGCCTCCCAGTCGTCCCTTTTTCAGCCTGGTGCAACATAGTGAGACCTCGTTTCTAAAAACAAAAACAGAATTCTAATCTAGGATAAGAAGGACAATTTATTTTCGGGGGGCGGGGTGAGAACGGGAAGGAAGAGTTGAGGGTTTATAAATGTTGAGCTTGTGATATGTCATGGTAGCAGATGGAGTTTAACAAACTTGGGTGCTTTTATCCCATAGGCAGTAGTAGAATCCGTTGGGTAGACTACCCAGGAAGTTTATAGGGAAGAAAGGCTGGATCATAGTTAGAGTATAGAAACGTGAAGGGAGGGTGGAGAAGGAAAATGTGTTTGAAGAATATACAAGTGAGAAGGGAAACCAGTGTGTTTCACTGAAACCAAATTGTTAATGACTTGTAAGGAAGGAATAGTCAGCAGTGTTAAACTTAATTCTTTTACAGATTATGTGGGAAAATGGCCACTTCTATCATTTGCTTCTATGAAGTGTATTCTTCAATGTGTGGATTTAAATATTACCGTTTGATGAGTTTCGACAAACCTATGCACTGTATAACCACACCTCCCTCAATATACAGAATGTTATATCATCCTAAGAAGTTGCCTTGTACACTCTTGTCAATCCCAGCCCCCTTCCTATTCTGACTTTTATCATCATAGTTTTGCCCCTTTTTGAACTTCATGTAAATAGAATCAGCTCTCGCCCAGGCTGGAGTGCAATGGCAGAATCATAGAGTTCACTGTAGCCTTCCACTCCTGGGCTCAAGCAATCATTCCGCTTTGGCCTCTGAAAATGTTGGGATTACAGATATGAACCACCGTGTCTGGCTGCTAGCCTATTAAGAACATATTTTTGAGGTTCATCCGTGTTGTACATCTCAGTAGTTAATTCCGTTTATCCTCTTATTCTTCTGTAGGATGTCATTTTATAAATATGTAACAGTTTATTTTGTTGGTGCTAGTAGATGTTCTTTTTTTAAAAAATATTTTTAGAGACAGGCTCTTGCTGTGTTGCACAGTCTGGTCTCAAACTCCTGGGCTCAAGCAGTCCTCCCACCTCAGCGTCCTGAGTGTCTGGGATTACAAATGTGTACCACCACACCTGGTTTATGTTCTTTTAATACATCTTTAACATAATCTAGGTTTTGTTGCTTAGTAAGAAAAAAGTACATTTTTCGACCAAAAATGCATATTGGAGTAAAACTGGCACTCAGAGCAGAGATTGCCTTGAGATGAGTTTTATATAGATAGGGCTTTCAGATTTCTGGTACCTCTCCTCTTGAATTGCGTTTCTCTTGAGAATTTGAACTTCTTAGTTACTTAAAGATTTCTTAAACTATGTTGAAAAGAAGTGATATTGTATAGGCTTTATGTGAATTGTAAATTTCAGAGAGATTGTGACAGGTGCCCTCCCAACTAGATTCTCTGTCTTTGGTAATTAAGAGTACTTCAGCTTTTTCCTTTCCTGGAAACATATAATGAAGATGTTTGTAACTTTTAGTACTAAGTAAAGTGAATAACATGCATTAAATAACATAATATGGAAAAGGTAGTTCTGTAACAATAGCACAGGTAGAGATTTATGAGTCACCTTGACAGCAAGTAGTTGTTGGGATGGTATTTTCCGGTGGTTGATTGAAAAGCGTCTTATTTATAATTCTCTGAACTTCGTCAAAAATAGAGGCCAGTAAGCATATAAACATGTTTAACGTCTTTAGTTACTAGGGAAAAGCAAATCACAACCACAATGAGATACCATTTAATATCCACCAGAATGCCTAGAATAAAAAAGAGAGATGATAAGAAGTATTGGTGAGGTTGTAGAGAAACAAAACTTGTTATCGTCTGTCAGAAAAATTCAACTACTAAACATGGTTAAGGTTGAATGGCTGTTAATGAATCTTGGAGGTGGGGCTTATTAAGCAGCTAAGAGATTCAGTATTAAAAAGTAAAGTATGTGATTTTTCTTGATCTATGATCCACTTATTTTTTATTTTATTTTGAGACAGGGTCTCTGTTGCTCAGGCTGGAATGCAGTGGCGTGATCACAGTTCACTACAGCCCCGTCAACCACTTGGGCTCAAGTCATCCTCCCACCTCAGCTTCCTAAGTAGCTGGGACCACAGGTGTGCACCACTGCACCTGGCTAATTTTTTGTATTTTGTAGAAACAAGGTCTCACTCTATTGCTTAGGCTGATCTCAAACTCCTGAGTCAAGTGATCCTCCCACCTCAGCCTCCCAAAGTGCTAGGACCACAAGTGTGAGCCATCATGCCCCGCCTCTCCACTTATGTTAAGAACAGCTTTCAGTTGTTTTCTTAGTGCTTTGGGAATTGTGGAGGTTTTGCTATCAAGTGCCAATTTATCAGACTTTGTTTCTGAGATATTCAAACCTACATTGTGGTAAAGCTGTAGCCTTCTTTAGTTTATGTGAACATTCTGCATTTATTCACTGAATGTGCTTTCTCTGCCAGTTGCTTTTCTAAGTCTTGGAATATAGGAGCAGTGAACAAGACATGCCAAAATGCTGTGCTCATGAAACTTCCATTGTTGTAGGGGGAGACACGATAAACAAAACGTAGTATGTTAGATGGTGATAAGTACTGTGGAGAAAATTAAAGAGGATAAGTTGTTAGTAGAGTAAGGGGGAGGACATACAGTTTTTAAAAGTGTGGACAGAAAGATCTCACTGAGAAGGTGACTTAAGGGGATGGCTAAAGATGAAGAAGGTGAGGGTATAAGCCATGTGGATGCCTGAAGAAGAGCATTCTAGGCAGAGGGAACATGGCTGTTCCTGGGAGGTTTTAGGAGCTAGTTCAGTGGGCTGGGGAGGGGGAGGGGAATAAGTGGAGCTAGGCTGGGGCACAGTGGCTCATGCCTGTAATCACAGCTCTTTGGGAGACTGAGGCTGGAGGATCTGTTTGAGCTAAGGAGTTTGAGACCAGCCACCGTAGGGGCACCCCATCTCTACGAAAAATTTTTTTAAACAATTAGCTGGATGTGATGCACACCTCTCAGCTACTCAGGAGGCTGAGGTGGGAGGATTCCTTGAGCCAGGGAAGTCAAGGCTACAGTGAACTGTGATTGTACCACTGAACTCCAGCCTGGGTGACAGCAAGACCCTGTCTCAAAAAATAAAATGAAAAAATAAGAGGGGCTAAGAAGGGGATGCATTTTGTAGAGCTCTAAAAGTCACTGTAAGATCTTTGGGTGTTGCTCAATGAGATAGGCCTTTCAGAGGGTTTGAGCTGTCTAGTGACATCCTTAATGAGATCATTGGTTGCTGTATTAAGTAGATTTCACGGCAACAAATGAGTGGAAGCCAAGAAACCAGTTAGGAGGCTGTTGTAGAAATCCAGGGGCTTAGACTTGAGTGTGAATTGGTGGAGGTAGGTGAGAATTGGTCAGATTCTGAATATATTTTGAAGGTAGAGCCAAATATATTCTGAATATATTTTGCAGTGTATGAGGGAGAGGTGTCAAGAATATTTTCAGGTTTTGGCTGGGTATGGTGGTTCACGCCTGTAATCCCAGCACTTTGGGAGGCCAAGGTGGGTGGATCACTGGAGGTCAGGAGTTCAAGACCAGCCTGGCCAACATGGTAAAACCCCGTCTCTACTAAAAATACAAAAATTAGCGCTTCCCTCTAAATTAGTGACTCGGGAGGCTGAGGCAGGAGAATCACTTGAACCTGGGAGGTGGAGGTTTCAGTGAGCTGAGATTGCACCACTGCACTCCAGCCTGGGTAATAGAGTGAGACTCAGTCTCAAAAGAAAAAAAAAAGAATATTTTCAAGGTTTTGGCCTGAGTTCCTGAAAGGATGGCATTGTCGTGATGAGGAGGGACATGTTTGAGGCTCACAGTCCTTGCAGTCTTGGAGTAGGCAGAGGTGAAGAGATTTACACCGCTTCCTCTCCTGTAGATAAAGCTTCCTGGTCATTTCCATACTTGAGAATCCTACTGCTAGTGATCCAGCTGCCTTGAAATGTTAGGAATGTTGATTACCTTTTCCTGTGGGACCAAAACTGCAGAGTTGTTGATAGTATGGTGTAATAAAAACCTAAGTTTGAATCCCATCTTTCTAAAGGGATCTCTGAGCATTGTTTTAATCACCTGTAACATGGACTGATAATACCTTGTTTACAGGGTTGTTCCAAAGGTTAAATTCAACAGAGTGAGACCCTGCCTCAAAAAAAAAGAAGAGTAAATTTGATAGTTACAAAGACTGTGGAAGCCTGAAAAACTTATAAACAAAAACAGGATGAGGTTGGGCCTGGTGGCTCACATCTGTAATCCCAGCACTTTGAAGGCTGAGGTGGGAGGATTGCTGGAGCCGAGAGCAGCCTGGGCCACATAGCCAGACCTGCTACAAAAAAATTAAAAATTTAGCCAGGTGTGGTGACATTTTCCTATAGTCGCAGTTACTCATGGGGCTGAGGTGGGAGGTGGAGATACTCGGGGGGCTTGAGCCTGGGAGGTGGAGGCTGCAGTGAGCCAGCATCACCCTACTGCACTCCAGCTTGGGTGACAAAGCAAGAGCCTGGCTCAAGAAGGGGAAAAAAAAGCGTAGTGGGCCAGGTGTGGTGGTTCACATCTGTTATTCCGGCACTTTGGGAGGCAAAGATGGGTGGATCACCTTAGGTTAGGAGTTCGAGACTATAGTGGCCAGTATGGCAAATTCCCATCTCTATCAAAAATTCAAAAATTAGCTGGGTGTGGTGGCACGCACCTATAGTCCCAGCTACTCAGGAGGCTGAGACAGGAGAATGGCTTGAACCCGGGAGGCAGAGGTTGCAGTGAGCTGAGATTGTGCCGTTCTATTCCAGCCAGGGCAACAGAGCGAAACTCTGTCTCAAAAACAAACAAAAAAAACATAGGATTTTACATTGTGACTATAAAGTTACTAAACCTGAATAAACATTGGAGGAAAATGTACAATTTATAACAATTGATGGGATAAGATAATGAGATTATAGGTAACTTCAATTTTATAAACTTTTGCAATATAAAGGGAAATATGGAATTAATTTAAAATTAAGATGGTTGATTTGCCTGTTTTCAGATGATATTGTTCAAAAACTTTGTTGTAGTTTTGAATCACTGAATGGTTGGACAAAACAAATAGAATCCCTTCAAAAAATACTCTCACATTAGTCCTGTCAAAACATAAATTTACTTTCAAACCATTTTTGGAGATCCTTGGTAGAAAGGATTTTTACATTTTTGCGTTCAAGAAGAAATGATCATTTCAAGGAGAAAATGTGGTGTGCTCACAGAATGATATAAAGGAGTATCTGACTTTCTTCATCCAGCTCGAACCACGATCCTTGTTAGCCTTTTTTATCTCGGTAGAGCCTCTGTTTCCCTTGCTGACGCCTCTGAGTCTCTGTTTTGAGTGTGTTATATTTCTAAATGTAGGCCAACATCTTACCAAACTTTCTTTTTAAATGGGTTGATTTCAAGCAATAGTTGATGGGAGGGTGGGGTGTTAATTGTGGAATACTTAAAAGCCAGGGCTTTGGATTTGAGAGAGGCTTGAGTTTGAAAACTTGACTTGCTTTTTGCTATTTGATCTAAGTCAAGTTATTCTCTCTCTAGGGTTTTCCTCTACAAAATGGGAATAGTAATATCTTCATAGGGTTGCTGTCAGAATTAAGTGAGGTAATGCATGTGCAATGTTTAACATGATACTGACACTTTACAAGGGTTAAATAGATACTAGTTGCTACTGATTCATAACATTAATATTCATGGTGGCCGAGATTGTGGCTTTCTTATTTATTGTGTATTTCTAGTGTAAAGTAAGTGATCAGTAATGTTGAGTGAATGAATACATGACAGAAAACAGGCCATGGTTCATTCCCATTTACTGTACTGTGTCAGAAGAAATAGAAGCCAAGTTTACTTTAATGCTTTTTGTATTGACATGTTCATCTAATGCTTGCCTGGTGGGAGTAGCATTGGGGTTTTCAATATCTAATCTTTATAATAGGCCCTGTCAATTACAGGTAAATTTAGATTTCTTGGAGACAAGAATCAGCGGACTGATGACTATATTTGGGCAATAGGTTTCCTTCTTTGTCTGTAAAAGGAAAAGGCTGGTCTTGAATTCTGCTTTCTGACTTTAAATTTTTATTTTTCTTAGTTAAATTGTAATATAAAAGGATAATTTTTATTGGTTTATAACTCTTAACTCCTTATTTTAATTTGCAGGTTATTTTGGATTACTGTATATTTATCACTGTAGGTTTACTCCTTTCAGATAAAAAACCAGAGCTCCCCCCTACCTATTTTTAAGCAACTGTATTGAGATATAATTTGCATAGCATGCAATTTGCCCATTTAAAGGGTACAATTCAGGGGTTTTTAGTGTATTCACAGATATATGCAACTCCCACCACAGTTAATTTTAGAGCGTTTTAATCACCTCAAAAAGAAACCTGTGTACCTTCTTTTAACTATTAGCTCCCTAGCCTCCAGGCCTCACCAGAAGCAACCATTAATCTATGCTCTGTATCTTCTGTCTCTATGGTTCCCCCTTCTAGACTGTGAATGGAGTCATACAATATGTGGTCTTTGTGGCTGGTTTCTTTGACTCAGCATAATGTTTTAAAGGCTTACCCATGCTGTAGCATGTGTCAGTACTCCCTCCCGCACCACCTTGTTTAAATTTTTACTATATGTGTTCTCAATTTATGGTTTCTTTATGCTGAAAAGTTCATTTCAAAAAATTTTTTTGTTTTGATTTTGTTTCTGGTCCTGGAAGGCAAGTTTTGTTTGTTTTAAACCACTAAGCCTGTTTGAATTTTTCTTTATTGTGTGTCTAGAAAAGTTTCTGAAGCCTGCTGTAGGGGCAGACAGATCCCTCATGAAAGCTAATGAAAGGTTCATAACAGATTATAAATGTTTTACTGGTTTGCTAAGAAGACAGACACACTAGGTATTTCTGGAAGCTCAGACTGGACCTTTGTTGTCGTCCCCCTGATCCCTACCCACCCCCTGTAATCATAATGATAAGGGCTTCTTTACTGGGTTTGCTCTGAGAAAGTTGGAGAGAGACTGACTTCCTGTCTCGTGGTTGAATGGCTGCCTTCACTATTTCACAGAGCCTGCTCAGACATGCTTTCAACTTGCCATTTTTCTTTTTTTCTCTACAGGGATTAAAGCCTGTGGTTCCCACAGAAGCACCACCTATCATATTTGCCACACCAACTAAACTGACCTCCGATTCCACAGTGTATGATTATGCTGGGAAAAATAGAGTTCCAGAGCTGCAGAAGTTTTTCCAGGTGAGGGAAGATACTCTAGATAACAGAGAAGCCTGTGAAATAAATAGGCTTAAAAAATCCCTTATGAAACTAAATCTTAATCTAGTTTACTACCCAACCTCCTCCTTTTTCTTTAAGTAGTATTCTCTTGATTTTAGTTTGAGCCATAACTGAATAGAACTTTATATAGATATTTTATATAGATAGATAATGATAAAAGAGGTGAGGGTGGTTACTTTCCTCATTAGTATTTAAGGGCATGAGGGTTTTGAAATGGCACGAATAGCACTTGATCATTTATTGAATAGAAGAAACAATAGCCTGTATAACTGAATAGCTCAATATATACGTATTTGGCTTTGTGACACGTGTAGTGACTTGGCAGTAAGTTTATTCCTAATTGTTTTTTGCTTGCTTGATATTAACATTCACTAAGCTGTTGCTGAAAGTAGAGGAGGAGCTTACGGGTTTGCAGATCAACAGAGAAGCCAGAATTGGAATTTAGAATATTATTAATCTACCTGCAAATTCTTGAGAAGTTAGTGACCTGACCCAATCTTAGGTGCCATGGGAGTGACAGTGCTTGCTACTGCTATTGCTGTAAGGTAGCTTCCCCCTCCTCAAAAGTATGTCCAGATTCAGACCCATCTTGAGGATAGAGCACTTTTGTTTTGATCAGTTTAATTTCTTTTTATTTGATAAGTAAGGTTTGAGAGAGCATTTGGGATCTCAGTGCAGTGGAGAGGGATTTTGGACACTGCAAAATTTGAGTTAAACAGGCCAGGTACGGTGGCTCACTTCTGCAGTCCCAATACTTTGGGAAGCCAAGGTAGGAGGATTGCATGATTAGCCTGGGCAGCATAATGAGACCCTGTCTCTACAAAAAAATTAGCTAAGCGTGTTGTTATGTGTCTGTAATCCCAGCTACTCCAGAGGCTGAGGCGGGAGGATCACTTTAGCCCAGGATTTTGAGGCTGTAGTGAGCTATGATTGAGCCACTGCATTGCAGCCTGGGTAACAGAGTGAGACCCAGTCTCTAAAATGATGATGATGATGATTTAAATATCTCATGGAATTTGATTATTAAATGGGTTTAACTGTGTGATGGAAAGAAGGCAGTTCAAATACAAAATGGGCTTAAATCTATTAATTGACCTGATATACTCTGACCTTATCCACTCGTGATCAGAAGCCAAACTAAATGGAGAACGTTTTTTGTGCCTGCACCTCTTTTTTTCTTTTTTAAGACAGAGTCTTACTCTGTCACCCAGGCTGGAGTCCATTGGCACACTCACAGCTCACTGAAGCCTTGAACTCTTGGGCTCAAGTGATCCTCCCACTTCACCTTCCCTAATAGCTGGGACTACAGGCATGTGCTACCACAGCCAGCTAATTTTAGTTATTTTGTAGAGACAGAGTTTCACCATGTTGCCCAGGATAACGTTAAACTCCTGGGCTCAAGCCATCTGCCTGCCTCTGCCTCCCAAAGTGCTGGGATTATAGGTGTGAGCCACTGTGCCCAGCCTCTCCTGCACTTCTTTGTTAGCTAGTGATTACCTTTGCCTTTTAAGAAATTCACCAGTCCTCCAGTTAAGCAATATATGATAAATGTGGGACATTTGGAATTTTTTGCGTGCATTTCCCTGTGGCAGCATTTTGGAGAATGACTTTGGATTTACAAGCTTTAGCTACATTTATAGGGACATCTACTAGTGTTTTAGTTAGCATTCCATGTATTAGGGCTTTTCCCACTGTCACGTGTTGATGAATTAGTTACAGAGACGACAAATTTGTTTTTTAAGAATAAAATTATAAAATGCTTTTCTTCTCAACCATGGCCTTGTTAATTCTCTCTTTCAAGAAAGCTGATGGTGTGCCCATCTACCTGAAACGAGGCCTGCCTGACCAAATGCTTTACCGGACCACCATGGCGCTGACTGTGGGAGGGACCATCTACTGCCTGATTGCCCTCTACATGGCTGCGCAGCCCAAAAAATGAGTTAGGCTGCAGAGGACTGGTTTGTTTTTTTTGGCATAAACCCTTTGAATTTCCTTTTTCATTGTTAATTTTTTTTTTTTTTTTTTTTTTTTTACTTGGATGGCTTAACATTTTTAAAAATGCAAGAAAAATAGGAACATACAAAGATGATATTTTGGTTTGTTGATGAAATGCATATGGCTTGTCAGAGCTCATTCCACAGTTAAAGCCATTGTTTAAAGAAACGCTGCGGTGCTCTGTGTTTTTGCTCCTGATTTCCCTGGGGGTTTTGGATGAAAGTTGCACACAGACTCATTAATGTCAGTCTGTGCCTCAGGGACTTGAGGTTGCGTTTTTGAGCATGGGGTGCAGAAGCCTTTCTGGATTTGAATGTGGCTGTGGAAAGACTGCAGTAGCCAAGGCCATATGCATAAAATGAGGGGTTGGAGTCAGTAGTCACCTCGGGGATTTTTTCCATTTTGCGGTAAGATGTTAAAAGAAATTATTTGTAACCTGCCTCTGCTCATTGGGCAGTTCATTTCAAAGGGTTATTTGCCTCATCTTCTGTCTTCAGTGAAATCTTATGTGTAATTGTGTGTATTTATTCCACCATGGGAACGGAGAACACCTGCTTAGTGTTGCACTTTAGACTGGTGTCTGTTTTATGAATATAGCTTTGCCACAGATTCTCCTTTATCTTTTAAAAATGTTATAGCTTTAAATTATGACTTATTTTGACTGTGGAATAAATACATGAATGAAAAATTTTAAGTTTGAAGTTCTTTAAATGACCTTTCAGAGTAATTTCACAACACCAGCAGCATCTTAAACCTGAGTCTAATTTCTTTCTTGTTAATTAGGCACCAGATAATCTTTACAAAATGGTTCCTAAAAGTCTAGTAATAGGAGTCTAATGGCATATTGATGATTACCATATGGTTCCTTATAAGAACTGCCTGCCGCTTAGTGAAATGTGCCTGTAACTCAGTTCATTTAGACACGAATTTCCTTTGCTGTCATGATTAGTAGACTTAGTTACCCTAAATTAATTTTGAAAAAATGGTGGAATTTTATTATATATATATATATGGTATCTTACCATAGCACAGAACAGTGACCTCTTGCTCAGGATAAAATATGGTGATTGAAAATAGTAATAGCTTTGCAAGAATATATATGTATCTGTGCAAGTCTAAATTTTATTATTCTCTGGTATTTCTCCCAAGGTTTTATTTTGAAAAATTTCAGACTACAGGAAGACTAAGCATAGCTTAATATGCACCTGTATGTCCTTCACTTAGATCAGTAGTTATCAATATATTGGCACCTTTGCTTTTTCTTGTTCTGCTCACACAGGCATACACAATGTATATATGCACACACATTTGGTTTTTGTTGAATCATTTAAGATTGTTATGGAATTATGATAAATACTTTAGCAAGTATCTCCTGAGTAAGGACATGTGTTCCTTTATAACCATAATCCAGTTGTCAGACTCAATAAGGTTAATAGTACTACCATCTAATATATAGTTTATTTTCAAATTTCCCCAGGTGTTCCAATAATGAGTTCTTTATAGTTGTGTTTTTTAAAATAACGTCTTTATTGTGATATAATTTACATACTGTACAGTTCATCTAAAGTGTACAATTCATTGGTTTTTACTGTATTTGGAGTTGTACAGCCATAGCTAGCATCAATTTTAGAACACTTACATCACCCTAATAAGAAACCCTGTGCCCATTACCAATCACTTGCCTTCCCTCCCACCACCCCAACTCTCACCTCCGAGCCCAAAGCAAGCACTCATCTACTTTCAGTCTCGATTTGTCTTTCCTGGACATTTCATATAAATAGAATCATGATGTGTGATGTGTGTGACTGGCTTCTCTCAGTGTAATGTTTTCAAGGCTCATCCATGTTGTGGTATGGATTGGTACCTTACTCTTTTATGGCTGAATAGTATTCAGTTGAATGGATATACCACATTTTGTTTTATCTACTCTTCTATGGATCGACATTTGGGTTCTCTCCACTTTGGGGCTGTTACGAATAATGCTGCTGTGAGCAATAGTGAACAAGTTTTTATGTGGACATGTGTTTTCATTTCTCTTGGGTGTTTACCTAGGAGTGGAGTTGCTGGGTCATATGGTAACTCTTGTGTTTAACATTTTGAGGAACTGCCAGACTGTTTTCAACTCACTTGCACCATTTAATATTTTCACCAGCAGATGCAGTTCATTTTTGGTTTTGTTTTGGGTCCAGGATCCAGCCAATGATCATACATTGCATTTAGTTGTTGTGACTCTTTATCCAGAATAGTTAGTCCCCTGTGCCCTTCCTGATAGTGACCTATTTGAAGAGTCCAGGCAAGTTGTTTTGTAGGGTATTCCTCAACTTTGATTTGTCTGATTGTCTCATTGGTGGTTTCAGGTTAAACATTTTTGTCAGGAATTCTTTATAGGTGATACAGTGTCCTCATGATGTCAGATGGCACTTGTTACCAGTTTGTCCCATTACTGGTGATTTGAAGTTGTGTCTGCCAGATTTCTCCCTTGTCAAGTTGATACCCTTTCCCCTTTGCAATTAGCAAGTAGCCTGAGGGGTGATATTTGAGACTAGGAATATCCTGTCCTTAGCAGGTTTGCACTCTGTGTTCATTGGTCATTCCTGACTGAATTATTACTAAGGTAGTTGTAAATATTTTCTGTTGTCATTCCTTCCACATTTTTGACATCTCTGTGAAGATGAGCATTTAAAGAAATTTATAATTTCCTCATTTGATGTGTAATAACCATCTCTGCCATTACTCATTTCAGTGCTCAAATGCGGCTTCTGTGTTCTGTGAGCATCTCCTATCAGTCTTTAGCACTTCCCTACTTTGTGACAGACAAGGTGGCTTCCATGCTGAACTTGTGTTTTCCCTACCTCAGTTTTCTTTGTTTATTGTCAGATATATTCTGTGAATCGATACATAGATGCATTTTCTTTGCCTGTTTTATTTTTGCCTAAATGGTAGGTAGTATACCTTCCAAATCTCACTTGAGCTTGTTCTGTCCCATTTTTCTACACTGGATTTTATAAATGTACCATAGTTTAGTCTCTTTTTGAAGGATATTCAGTTTAAACTTTTTTGCTTTTATAAATACGACTTTAATGCATAGTCTTTAGATGTCATTTAACATAATGTTGAATATATTTATTTGATCATTTCTAGCTGGGAGATTTAGCAGGTGAAGGGGATGTGCATTTCCAATTTCAATAGTGCTATTCCTTACTAAAAAAATGATGCTGGTTTACATTCCTATCTAGCAGTTTTGAAAGTGCCCAGTTCTTTTCACCTTTGTCTACATAAAATATTACCCCTTTCTGGCGGTGACGACCTACCCACGAGAACATGCCTCTCGCAATGGATCTCCTTCATCCGTCTCCAGAAGAGGAGAATAGGAAACACAAGAAGAGACGCCTGGTGCAGAGCCCCAACCCCTACCTCATGGATGTGAAGTACCCAGGATGCTATAAAATCACCACGGTCTTCAGCCATGCACTAACGGTAGTTTTGTGTGCTGGCTGCTCCAGTGTCCTCTGCCAGCCTACAGGAGGAAAAGCAAGGCTTACAGAAGGACGTTCCTTCAGGAGGAAGCAGCACTAAAAGCACTCTGAATCAAGGTGAGTGGGAAAATATCTCTATAAACACATTTTGGATAAAGGAAAAAAAAATTACCAGACTTTTTGATCTTTGCCAGTCCTCTAAGTGATAACATTTCTTTGTGGTTTAAACTGCCTTAGTAGGCCCGGCACCATGGCTCACACCTATAATTTCAGCACGTTGGGAAAATGTGCTGAGGCGGGCAGAACACTTCAGCTCAGGAGTTCAAGACCAGTCTGGGCAACATGGTGAAACCCCGTATAAAAATACCAAAAGGGTTGAGGCAGGAGAATTGCTTGAGCCCAGGAGGTCAAAGCTGCAGTGAGGTGCGATTGTGCCACTGCATTTCAGCCTGGGCGACAGAGCAAGAGCCAGTCTCTAAAGAATTAAAAAAAAATACTCTTGAGATAAATGGGCAAAGTACATGACTAAATAGCTCATTAAAAAAGGAAATAAAATTTACCTTTAAACCCCAGTTTTTTAAAAAAAGATATTCAACATCACTAATTATTATAAAAAGGTAATTTTATTTTATTTATTTTGAGACAGGGTCTCATTTTGTGTCTCCCGGACTGGAGTGCAGTGGCTCCATATTGGCTCACTGTAGTCTTGACTTCCTGGGCTCAAGTGATTCACCTCAGCCTCCTAAGTAGTCGTACTATTGGTGCTGCTGCAACTGGCTTTTTATTATTATTATTATTATTATTTTTTGGTAGATACGAAGGTCTTGCTGTGTTGCCCAGGCTGGTCTTGAACTCCTGGCCTCAAGCAATTCTCCTGCCCTAGCCTCCCAAAGTGTTGGGATCACAGATGTGAGCCACTTGCCTGGCCTAGAGTTCTTGCTGGTAATGCTAAATGTATTGGTCCGTTAGGCTGACTTCCTCAGGAATAGTCTCTAGTGACTCCTGTCTGAGCCAGACGACTTCTGTTTACAAGTTCCAGAAATTCATTAAAACCAGTTGATACAGAAAGGAGGATTTTTCAGAACCTAAGCAAAGCTGGGCCTCACAAGGACTGCCTTTGGGTCCAAGGCAGCTGTCCTTTCTGTCACTCTCTTGATTACGCAGCTGTTTAATTCTGTTTCTGCAGACCAGCTTTCTCTGCTTCTCCTTGCATTTGGAAGGAAATCGTTGTCCAGCTACTGGCAACCTGCTCTAAATTCCAGGAGAGAGAATGTTATTGGCCCATTTGGGTGAGGTATCCCCCACTGGGCCAGTCAGCTGTTTGGTGCCAGGCTGTCGGGGCAGATGCAGGGAAGAAGCCCAGGCTGTCCTATTCTTGGACCTTCACTGACAGTGCAGAACCTTTCACTTTATTTCAGAGTTAGGATTATGCCTTCTGAGCACATTACTTTGAACCCTTGCCAGGATTGGCGTGTTTACTCAGAGGAAGCCATCTCCTTCTCACTGGTTCGCCTTTTCTCAGTGCCATCTGGATGAGATGCTGTTAATACAAGAACATTCCCTCTACTCACCTCCTCCAGGTCATGCAGTTAGGCTGGGATGCTAAGTGCAGTCCTCCTCTTTACCACAATGCTCTGGGTTGACATGATCCCAGGGCTGTGAAGACTTTATGGGGTACCCAGACAAAGATAGTTTAAGGGAATTGTTTTAAGGCAGCCTCCATTACACCTCCTAAGATTAAGCTGCTGCAGAGTACACCTGGCTTAAGGGGGTCCTGCATGATGTTCTTTCACTCTGAAAGGAAGGCAGACCCTCAGCTGTTCTTGTCCTACCAAGGGGTGTTGCCCTGGAGAGTGAAAACCATTCCTGGGGCAGTGTGGGAATAAGTGCAAATATTGGTAACATTGAGGAAGTTGTGACTCAGACTGACAATTTTTTTGGCAATTTAGAAATTTATTTATTTATTTTTGAGACCGAGTCTCGCTCTGTTGCCAGGCTCACAGCCATCTCTGACTCCCTGGTTCAAGCAATTCTCCTACCTCAGCCTCCTGAGTAGCTGAGACAACAGATGCATGCCACCACGCCCAGCTAATTTTTGTATTTATAGTAGAGACTTCATGATCTGCCCACCTTGGCCTCCCAAAGTGCTGGGATTACAGGTGTGAGCCACCGCTTTGGCCAATTTAGAGATTTTTAACAAAATTGAAGTAGGAACCAATTAAGTTGTCACTTGATCATTAAAAATAATTTGTTTTGTTTGTTTGTTTTTTGAGACAGAATTTTGCTCTTGTCACCCAGGCTGGAGTGCAGTGGCGCATTCTCTGCTCACTGCAACCTCTGCCTCCCAGGTTCAAGTGATTCTCCTGCCTCACCCTCCTGAATAGCTGGGACTACCAGTGTGAGCCACTGTGCCTGGCCTAAAAATAATTTTGATAATAGATCACCACACAACTTTTAGTCATAACTCAGGAGTTCAAAGAATTGTGATTTTGCTATCACAAAACTTCATTCCCTTCTATTTATGAAAACAAAGTTTTTCAGTACTTGTATCTGTAAAAATAAAAATGGGAATGGAATTGGTGCTGAAATGATCTTATTTTAACAGTCAGCAAGATTTATCTATGAAAGCCTGAACCATTCTAAGACAGATTTTCTCATACTTTGTTTTGGTCAATTATGTACTAACAGTAATTATAATAATTCAGAATAAAAATATTTCTAACACTTAGAGTTTATGGTCACAGGAAATTTAACCAAATTTCAATTTTAGAGTGTTACAGAGAATTATGTATGAGCAATAGGAGACTTTCATTCCTAAAGTTGTATTACATTAGGGTAAATTTTGGGGTATAAAGTTCTATGTATGGGAGTAGAATGGAAATACACATATAAGCAGAAGTTTCTGACTGTTCTACAAATGTGTATTTTTAACCAGATGAAGATGGGCATCCAACTGCAGTGGAATTTACATTCCATTGAATACGTTTATAAGTGATTTGGCCGGGCGAGGTGGCTCATGCCTGTAATCCCAGTACTTTGGGAGGCCAAGGGGGGCGGATCACAAAGTCAGGAGATCAAGACCATCCTGGCTGACACGGTGAAACCTCGTCTCTACTAAAAATATAAAAAATTATCCAGGCATGGTGGTAGGCACCTGTAGTCCCAACTTCTCAGGAGGGTGAGACAAGAGAATTGCTTGAACCTGAGAGACAGAGGTTGCAGTAAGCTGAGATCGTGCCACTACACTCCAACCTGGGCAACACAGCGAGACTCATCTCAAAAAAAAAAGTGATTTAATAATTTAGCCAATATTTATAACACAACAGAACTATACTCTTTGCAACTATTTAAATTTAAAATGAAAAATTCTAGATATTAAGCTTAGATATGCATAGATGTAAATTTTTGTTTTAGGCTACACAAGAGTAAGAACAGTTGAAAATGGCTGCTTTACACTTGTCCTTGTAAAGCAGTGCCACTTATCCCTCACTTTGCTCTTTCTGTCACCAGATTCCCTTTCAGGGTCTGACTAGCTTTTCTCTCCTTCCTGCCCCCTTCATCCAGTGTGACTTTGCTGTGACGCTGTCAGGTAAGGTGAAGGAAGGTTGGCGTGGCTTCGATAATACTGGTGGCTTTTGTTTGTTTATCTGCTTTTTACTTCCCTTCATGTGCATGGCCCTGGGCAGGCTCCCCTGGCCTTGTCTAACGTTGAGGTCTGTTCATCCCCATGTCTTTTTTGTGATTTTCCTCCTGGTCGAAAGCTTTGCAAACCTCTCACTTTCTGTCCCATTAATCTTCAATAGCTAGAGGTTATCCCTGGGGCTATAAACACTGGTTGCTGAGAAATTCTGATACTGCCTGGTCCCAGAGATTTAATACATACATTTGACATTTTAACTCCATACCTCCTAGGTTTGGTCACTATGTAGTGCCACAGAGTGCCCATGTCAGGTTGGCTGAGAAGTGGGGCCCTGTCCCTAGTGCTCCTCATGGGTTCATTGACCATCATCTTTGGCTCCTCAGGGACTCCCTGACCCACAGTCTTCAAGTAGTTCCATTAATTCTGTTATTCTAGACATTTAATTAGTGTGCAAAAACACACTTAGGTGCTAGAGCCTCAGAGGTGAATCATGCATAGGGTTATTTTCAGGGTGTCTTGAATCTCTTAGGGTTGATAGACCATATGGCTAGCAAATGGCCTCGTTTTTGAGAAATCCTACAGTTATCCTTCACCTGTTCTGATCTGAGAGCTCCATGTGACTGGTGGGGTTTGGTGACTTTAGAGCAGGCTGCCCTGGGTGGGGGTGGGGGTGGAGGGAAGCCTGGCTGTAGCTACTGTTCTGGGAACCCATCTCATGCCTTGGTGGTAGCAAGTCAGGCCCTGCAGTGTGGAGGGCGGCAGCAGCTGACTCTGGCTCTCATGATGTAAACAAGAGCAGTGAGGGTGGCTCAGCACCTCCTCAGGTAGAAGGAGAATAGGATGATCACTTGCAGTCCCCTCTGTCACCGGCTGCTGTGACTTGAATAAGCTGGAATCAGGCCTCCTGACCTCTGTGTGGCTGCACGGTGCCCAGGTGTGGCACTGCTGCAGGATGTGTTGGGATGGGCAGGTGGGGCCCAGCTGCTGCTTGCTCAGGGTCCTGAGGCGGCTGGAGCTGACTTCCCCTGGGGCTGCTGCAAAACGTGAATCGGGCGGGGTCTAACGAATGGCGAGAAAGAACATTCTTTAGGTCATATTTTTTTCCTTGAGTTCTGACATAGCCCTCCTGGGACATCCTGCCTTCTCTTGTTCTGACCTTGACCATGACATGGATTTGTCATGGTCACATGGCTATACCTCAGGGCCAAAGCACAGGTCTCCACACTGTCTAACGTGTACTAGCCAGATTGGAATCTTTGCTGACTCCAAATACCACATTTCAAGCTAACCCAGGCTGTGGGAAATGGTGTTGCCTCCCAGTCAGCAGAGAAGGTTGTAGGAAGAAGCAGAAGCCTCTGGCCTACTGTAGGGCCTTGGAAGGGCTGCAAAGTAAAGCAGACAGAATTAGGGACCTGGGTTTTCCAAGGCAGAGGAGGAGAGGCAGAGGCTGTGTAGGTGTACCTGGTGCCTGCGTGAAGGGCCAAAGAAGTAATGGGTATAGAAATCGGGGTGGTTTCTGAGGGCATCTTGCCAGGTAGAGAGCTCAAGTCCCTCGTCTCAGCTCCCCTAGGGAGAGGGAGAGAGCAGGGAAAGGGCAGCTAGGCTAGGGTAGAAGAGGCAGGCTCTGCTGGTCCAGGGCCCCTTTTAGGGTTCCAGCTATACCAGGCTTACACTTCACTTGTGACAGTGGAGCCCTGAGCTCAAGCATGGAGGCAGTGTGGTTGCTCAGCTCAGCCTGGGTCCCTGTCCTTAAGAAGGGCTGGCACCAGTTCCGGAAGTGCCTCACCTGGGGAAGGTCAGACATTCCAGAATCAGTTCATACCTGACAGGCTCTAAGCCCATCTTCCCCTCCCGCCTGCCCCCTGCTTAGGCCACAAACCCTCCACGTTATACAGCAGATTAATTTGAAAATTGAGTTGCAGCTGAATGAGTTGATGTCAACTTCAAAGTTCAGTGGTGTTTGATTAGAGCCGTCTAGAGACTAGACTTGCTCCCAGGAAATGATTCTGACCGAATAATTAAAGTGCATAAAGGTTAGTTTTGTGTTTCTGGCCAAATATGTGTTGCATTCAGCATCTCCAAAACATGAATTCCATTAACCTTTCATGAACCAGCATTAAATTACTTTCAATTAGTCGTCATTCTAATTAAAGTTGAGTTACACAGAGGAACCTTTGTTTATACTTGATCGCTGTTCCCTTTCCTCCTCTGGAACTAAGTCCTCTTGAGCAAATGGTTATTTGGAAAGCTATTTTATAACTTTGTGTCCTCTCACCCATCACTCTTGAGTCAGGACCTGTTCCTGGAGCCGAAGGGAGTAGACACCCACTGCAGCAGGAAGCTGGGGAGCACTGCTGGCTAGATTGAAGCACATGACGTGCAAAAAGCAATCCCATGGCTTTGGGAGAGCCAGGTAAGGAGTGATTGAGGTGGCCTGCCCAAGCCAGGCAAGCTCAGGCAGGCCTTGCGGTGCTGAGTGAGGCATGGTCTGCCCAGGTGGGACTTGTGCAGGTGGAGAAGTGTGGTGCCCTCTGGGACACCATGACCTACCCTATTCCGAGCCTTTATGCCTTAGGTGTGGGTGGCCTTGCTCCTGCCAAGGGATAGATCCGAGTTCTCATCAGGGCCTGTCTGCAGCCTTAGTCTCCTAAGAGCGTTCCTCTCTAGTGGCCACAGCAGGAGGGCTTGAGGGAGGACAGAGATAAACCACTGTGTCCCCCTGCAGGACTCACCTGTAACTTGTCATCCAGCGTATTTTTTTTTTTTTGTTTTCTCCGTTGATTATGGATGTGACCAAGACAGAATCTCTTAAGCCAGTGCGGGATTCCGCAGGATGGGGCACTTCAGGCCCCTCAAACCCAGGATGCCAGAGGTGAGCTCGCTTTCTTTGGCTCCAGGTCTGAACAGAGGTTAGAGGCGCCGACCACTTGCCTCACATTTGCCATCAGTAGCCCTTAAAGCACAAATCATTTTTTCCGCAGTGTGCTGCGCAGTAGAGGCATTGAGAAAGATGACCCTGCTCCCAGCCTCCTGAGTTCCCAGACTGATGAGCACTGCCAGAGTGCAGCAGAGTGGGCCAATGACAGGGCCATGCCCTGGGAAGGCGGAAGGAGGAGTGGCGGGGAAGCTCCTACAAGCTGTTTAACTCGCACCTCACATGAATAGGTGGTTTCCACCAGAGGACATGGGGAAGGCACACACCGAGGTGTGAGGGCATCTTGGGTGTGCCTGGGGGCCAGGGGAGAGGAGAGGAAAGGCAGGATCCAGGGTGAGAGCAAGAGGCTCAGGCCTCACAGAGCACCTTCTTGGAGCCGGGCCTGAGAGCTGGACTCTGGCTGGCGAGCAGGGTGTGTGTGTGTCGGGGATAACCACCATATCCAGTGGGGATTTTTTTGTTTGGTTTGGTTCTTTTGAACCCACAGTGGCAGTGTGGAGGACAGAATGGAGAGGAAAAAGACTCACAACAATTGGTAAGCGTTGTTAAGAGAGCTGATGGGAGCCTGGGAGTGATAGCCAAGGACACAAGAGGAAGGAATGGATCCCAGGGGCTTGAGGAGGGCAGAGTGAACCCAGTTTGACAACTGCCCATCCCAGGAGACGGGAGGAGGCCTCAGGGGTGCCCCCAGGATGGCACAACTTGGCTTCTGGGTGAGCGGGGAGTGGAGTACAGAGCCTGGGTTGAAACAAGGCAGGACATTTCTTTGGAGAATGTGGATTGCCTATGGGTCCTCTAGGTGAGGAATCCCCATAGGCATTGGGTCTGGGGAGAAGGTGAGGGATCTGGACTGGAGTCAGAACTCGAGACCGAATATACAGGTGTCTGCGGAAACCAGGGGTGTCTCCGACATTGTGCAAAGGGTTATGTGAGATGAGGAAATGGAATGGGAAATAACCAAGACTTAACAAGGTGAGCAAAGAGGAAGAGAGTGGTAGTGTATGAACAGAGGAATGGGGACACGACAGAGAACACACTTCGGGCTCCATTCATGTAAAAGCCAAAACCAAACCAAAGTAATTGGTGGCAATAGGAGGTCAGAATAGAGGCCGCCCTGTGGGAGTCTGTGACAGGAGCAGGTCACAGGCTGACTTCCGAATGCTGGCAGTGTTTCCGGTCTTCCTCCGGGGGCTGGCCGTGTGGGTGTATACATGTGCACAATGCACTGAGATTTGTGTACTTGATTGTAAGAATAAATTTAAAAAGTGTTAAAAAAAAATAAAGGAGGAAAGCAAGGAAGGAGGGAAGGATAAGGGGAGGGAGGACGGGCAGGAGGGAAGAAAGTGCAAGGCCGTATTGTCATTCGAACCCTGAACCCTGAGAGTGCGTCAGCAAACAACAGGAGGTGGTGTAGAGCAACACGCTGTTTTTAATGAGCAGATGGGCTGAGGCCTAAAGTAGCCCCAAGTGAGGATGGGCAGGGGTTTTAGTTTCCTATAAACAAGAAGTGTCCCAGTCTGATGTAACTGCTACGTGATACCCAGACTGCCTCTCTCTTTATCTTCAAGGGGTACGTGTCTTCTGGCCAGCTCTTCTGGCTTCTGCTATCTTGCTGACGCATGCTGGTGGCGCAAGTGGCCTTGCATCTTGGGACCTGGCCCGAGAAGGGAGGAGTTATTCATCCCCCTAAGCTTTGAGGGCCCGGGGAGAATCTTTCATTCCCGTCTATTTGGTTATAGAAAAACGGAAAAGGTACGACCTTCTCAAAAACTACTTCAGGCATGACATAGGGGATGGCGTGGGCACCTTGGAAAAAAGAAAAAGAAAAACAATTTTTAGAGTATTCTTGAAAGATGGGTTGGTACCCATCATGTGATTGTAGCAGGAGCGTTGTCTGGATTGTCTGGTGATTAACTGTAGTTTCAACAAGAGTTTTAATGGCTTTTATTATCAGTGTAACACGGGAGAAGCAAGAGG